TCTCTTACAGCTAGCAACTGTGGGATCCTCACGTGCCTCCACATCCTGTACTCCATCGCAGGGCAGGGATTATCATCCCCATTTTACAGATAATCAACTAAGGCTCACAGCAGGAGGCTCAGTCAGGGTTACAGAACTGGTCCGTTTTGGAGACAAGATTCAAACTCAAGTTTAACTGACTCTCAAGTAACTAAGGCAGGCTAGCTCTAAAGGGGGCTTTTAACCTGGAGGTTCATGAACTCGTTTTTGAAAAATATTTTGAAAACTGTATCTCAAGAGAACGATTTCGTTTGCAAGTCTGTTGGGGTTTTTGATGTTTTTTTAAATGCATTTAAAAACATTTACTCTGAGAAGGAGTCTATAGGCTTCACCAGACTGACAGCCAAGAGTCCAGAATGCACAAGATGGTTAAGAATCTTTGGTCTAAAGCATGAGAAAAGCATGAGCGTTGCAATTATTGTGACAGTCATTATCTACCTCTTTTCCTGGCTTGGGAAGAGGTACAACTCTCAAGGGCATTAGGGACACAGACCCCTCCCCAAAGCAGCCAGCCCTGATCCAGCCAGAAGGAATGCTGCATAACTACCTAACGAGCATTTGCCCAGTACTCTTACCATGTGCACAGCTCCATTTTGGGCAAAGTACAGAGAAAACAACATCCTCTCCTCTACCCCCACTTTACAGTTTTACATGATAACTAACATTTATAGAATGCTTTAAGGTTTGCAAAGTGCTTTATACACCTTGTCTAAGTTGATTTCCACAACATCCCCAGTGAGCTGAGTTCTCTTATCCCCATTTTACAAATCAGGAAAGTGAGGCAGATAGCAGTTAAGTGACTTGTCCAGGATCCCAAGGCTACTAAGTGGAAGCTGTAGGATTTTAACTCAGGTCTTCCTGACTCCAAATCCGGCACAGTATCCATGACATAAGATTCAGGAAATGGCTAAAGGCATGGAGGGATTTCTATTGCTTTATCAAGAAAGAATGACTGAAAACTCCTGGACAAATTTCTGAGGCCCTCACTACAGGAAAAAGGCTAAGTTGGCCCCTGTGGGGGAGGGGAGGGGTCAATATACTTAATGACATTGTCAAATTTCTTTGTTATCTGCCTGTCACTGACTTACTGTAAAACTGCCTTTCCTCCTTGGGCCTCAGTTTCTCAATCTGTAAAATAGGGAGAGGTGTTAATAGTCTAGATATATGGTCCTTACCTATATATCATATATATCATACCTCTCTGGCTCTGTCAATCTATGTTTTATGCCCCAAAAGGGACCTTCAGGTGTCTTTCCTTATCTTTTGAGAAGGCAAAGAGCCTACACAGAGCTGGGGGGGGGGGCCCTCTAGCTACAGAAACCTGCAGACACACAAGCAGCTCCTCTTTCCCCTGCCAGGCTCCCCTTCTCCTCCTTCCCCCAGTTTTTAATTTGAACCTTGATAAGGACATTCAAAAGGAAAGGCCCAAGGCAAGGCGATGAACCTTCTGAAATTGTTCTGTAAACTGGAAAAGGCTTCAGACAGGGAGGCAACGACCCAGATGATGTCAACTGAACTCTCTGCCCTCCTTCCCCTTCCCCTCCAGTAATGACTGGAAATTGGCAAGAGGAGGATTGATTTAGGGTTCATTCAAGAAAAAAGCTATGGCACAATTAGTGCTCACCCGAGGGCCTGAGGGCAAGGCCTGCCAAGCAATGTCCTGGGCCCCTTAGTGGAGATCTCCAAGCAAAGGCTGAATGGATGGCCACTTCCGGAGGATGTCACAACATCTTTCTTCTAGAAATGGGTTGGGCTAAATCAGGGTGAGAAACCTGCGGCCTCAAGGCCACATGTGGCCCTCTAGGTCCTCAAGTTCGGCCCTGAGACTGGCTGCAGGTTCCCCACCCCTGGACTAGATGGTCTTCCAACTCTGAAGTGCTCTGATTCTGGGACCTGATTCGCAGCCGCTGGTGCATTCAGCCACTAGCTTCTTTGCTAGAAGGTACCAGCTTCCCCCATTCCAAGTGGTGGAGGGAGTGCTGAGTCAGAAAGACTTGGGTTCAAATCTGGCCTCAGACACCAGTTGTGTGACCCTGGGCAAGTCACTCAACCCTGTTTGCCTCAGTTTCCTCATCTGTCAAATGAACTGGGGAAGGAAATGGCAAACCACTCCAGGATCTTTGCCAAGAAAACCCCAAATGGGGTCAGGAAGAGTCAGACAGGACTGAAATGACTGGAGAACAAAAAAAAAAAAAACGAATATAATACAGAGAATCACACACATACACTAACTGATCAAACAACTGAAAAAGAACTGAGAAAACAAGATGCACAATGACTATGAATAACTGAACGACCAAAATCAAATGTTGCAAAATTACTAAGCTCGATTCCAAAGGAGAGATATGAAAAGACTCGGTAAGACCGTGAGCTCCTTGAAAGCAGGAACTGTCTTTCGCCTTTTCTTGGTATCCCCAGTGCATACCTGGCACATAGTAGGTACTTAACAACTGGAGTTGACTGTTACTTCCCCCTACTCCTTTGCTGAGGTAGGGGACCCCCTGGTGTGGAACACTGCATAGACTGTCAAATTTTAAAAAATGTTTCATGACTTGTTTTGCTGATTTTTTTCATTTTTTAAAATTCTTTGTTATAAAGGATGGTATTCTGGGATGGGGAAGAGCTACGAGGGGAAATTAGGTAATTAGAAGAAACAAAAGATACCAATAAAATTTATTTTTAGAAAGGTTCTTTCCCAGTGGGAAGTCATTAGATACTAAGCTCTTAGCCTAGGACCTCGAAAAGGTTTGTAGACATTATCTAGAAATGCTGATCTAGGCAAATGACTGGAGCTGATGCATCTCTGATCCTGGGTTCCTCTCTACCCTACTCTTCCCCATCTCCAGAGATATTCCCCAGGAACTGGCCTCACTTTAGGCCCTGACCATCTCAAAAGTCCTTTCTAGCTCTGACATTCCACACTCAGAGGTCTCTCCCAACTTTGACATCCCATGTTCCAAGGTCCCTTTTGCTAGGACATCCTCTGTTCTGCTAGCCCTTCCATCTCTGACAGTCTTTGGTTCTAGAATTCATTCTCCTTGCCCTATCTCACAAATCCTCCAATTGTGGAGATTTTTAAAACCAGGGCAAGGAAGAAGAGTGCCCAGTCCTTTACCAACCTGATATCTGGGATACTTGAGCCTGGGGGAGAAACTTGCCTGAGCCCCTAGGCAGGACAGCCCCCTGCTGCAGGGCCACAAGGGTTCCCCCATCCAGATCAAATATCTGCCTCCTCACCTGTGAAAGTGGGGGATGACAAGCCAGCCACTCCCCACCCACTCACAAGCCTACTGGAGGCCAGTGCTGGTTTACAGAGCCACAATGAAACATGAGCTCTGTTATTATGATTAACTTTAACACCTGAATCAAGGGGGAGGGCTCAGGTAACTTAATCTTTGTGCCTCTCGGGACAGTCAGCCAGGGGCTGGGGCTGCTGTTCCTTAGCTCTTGTTGCCAGGGTGAGCGTTTCTTTTCTTTTCTTTTTTTTTATTTTTAAACCTTGTCCTATCAACGAGACCTTTCATCAGCTCCCTTCTCCAAGGAGTAAAACAGCTTACCTCCAAGAAAGGGCACCTCCCACCAACCCCAAGAGCCTCTAAGAAAAAGGAGTCATTATGATGGCTTTTTAAGGTGTACAAAGTTTTTTCCCCACAAGATCAACAGGCGTTATTTATGCCCATTTTGCAGGTTGAGAGAGGGGAAGTGAGAGACGCAGGCAGCCCCTCAAATGTTATCACCACTGTAGTTGAGGAAACATTCCAAAATGACATACCAATCACCATAGGGTTCTTACATGACCCTGCCCACGGGAACATAGACCAGTGAGTGACCCTGACCTACTAACTTCTGAACAAACCAGTTCAACCAAGGACCCTCCTATATATATATATATATATATATATATATATATATATATATATATAT